ATTTGATTCAAAGCACTGAGCATGCCAACATACCATACTTTAAAATATGGTGCTCTGAGCCCCAACATTTCCCCCATCTGCAACTTTGTTGAAAGTTTCAAAAATTCAGAGCTGAGCTAGTGTCTGTGAAGAGGAGAATCAGGTTGGAATATGCATAGTAAAATATCTGCAAAGGGACAAAAGATATAAATTATAATGATAATAAACAAACAGAAAAGAACAAATGTAAGCACATTGAGCAATCTATGTTGTACAGAAAATCTCATGTACAACAAATCCCCATGACACAAGTTTACCTATGTAACAAACCTGCTCATGTACCCCTGAACTTAAGATAAAATATTTTTAAATAAAAAGAAAGCCTTAAAAACAGCAACAACAACAAAGAAATCATGAAAAAAAAAATTGAGAAACCTGTAGCCACACTAACCAAGAAAAAATTATATACCTAGAAAACCCTATAGTCTTGGCCCAAAAGCTACTACAGCTGACAAACAACTTCAGAAGTTTCAGGACACAAAAATATTGTGCAAAAATCACTAGCATTCCTATCTACCAAACAGCCAAGCTGAAAGCCAAATTAGGAACACAATCCCGTTCACAATTGCCACAGAAAGAGTAAAATATCTAGCAACAGAGCTAACTAGGAAGGTGAAAGAGTTTTATAATGAGAATTACAAAACCCTGCTCAAAGAAATCAAAGATGACACAAACAAATAGAAAAATATTTCATGCTCATGAATAGAAAAAATCAATATCCTTGATATGGCCACACTGCCCAAATCAATTTGCAGATTCAATGGTATTCCTGTCAAACTACCAGTGACTTTCTTCACAGGACTAGAAAAAACTATTATAAAATTCATATGAAACCAAAAAAAGATCCCAAGTAGCCAAGGTAATGATAACAAAAAAAAGGAACAAAGCTAGAGGCATTACATTCCCCAACTTCCCACTACACTGCAGGGATACAGTAACCAAAACAGCATGGTACTGGTACAAAAACAGGCACATAAACCAATGGAACAGAATAGAGAACCCCGAAATAAGGCAACAAACTTGCAATTATCTGATCTTTGACAAAACTGACAAAAACAAACAATGGGAAGAGAACTCAGTATTCAATAAATGGTGCTGGGATAACTGGCGAGCCATATGCAGAGGATGGAAACCAGACCCCTTTCTTGCACTCTATGCAAAATTTAACTCGAGATGGATTAAAGACTTCACTGTAAACCCCAAACTATAAAAACCCTAGAAGACAGAATAGGCAATATTATTCTGGACATAGGAATGGGCAAAAATTTCATGATGAAGACACCAAAAGCAACCAAAACAAAAGCAAAAATTGACAAGGTATCTAATTAAACTAAAGAGCTTCTGCATAGCAAAAGGAATTCTCAGCAGAGTAAACAGACAACCTACAGAATGGGAGAAAAATTTTGCATTCAATGCCACTGACAAAGGTCTAATATCCAGCATCTAAAAAGAGCTTAAACAAATTTACAAGAAAAAAAAAAAAAACTCCTTTAAAAAGTGGACAAAGGACTTAAAACAGACATTTTTCAAAAGAAGACATACATGTGGCCAATAAGCATATATGAATAAAACCTCAATATCACTGATCATTGGAGGTATGCAAATCAAAACGACACTGAGATGCCATCTCACCCCAGTGAGAATGGCTATTATTATTTTTTAACAATTAAGTTCAGGGCTATATGTGCAGGTTTGCTACATAGGTAAACTTGTGTCCTGAGGGTTTGTCATACTGATTATTTTAACACCCAGGTAATTAAGCCTAGTATCCATTAGTTATTTTTTCCTGATGCTCTCCCTCCTCCCATCTCTAAATTAAAGTGTCCCACTCCTACTGCACATAAGGTAATGACTATTTTTGGCAGGCAGAAAATTCATCATGACATGGATTTCAATAAATATTTATCTGGCACTTCTGGAAAGTGGGGACAGTTCTTTAGGAAAATTAAGACATCTATGTGGATAAATATAAAAATATTTCCAAATCCTTTGGGGTAGGCAGGATATGAAGCAAAAAGGTGGGAAGCAAGATACACACTTTGGTGTATAAACTTTTGGATTTTTGTTCTCTTTCTGTGAAGAATGGCGTGGGCATTTTGATAGGAATTGCTTTTAATCTGTAGATTGTGTAGGACTGTATGAACATCTTTATGATAATTATTTCAATCCATGAACATGGAATATCTTTAGATTTTCTTGTATCCTTTTCAATTTCTTTCATAATGTTTTCTAGTTTACATTGTAGAGATATTTTACTTCTTTGGTTAAGTTTATTGCTAATTTTATTCCTGTATGTTTAAGAGCTTTGTGGTTGGTCTCTATAGTCATAAGTAGGTCACAAAGAACAGTGCTAGTCTCTAGTGATCATCAGAAGATACTAGGCTTTAAGGGAGTTTTCTAAGTTTGATTATGTTGGTTTCCGATTCTTTCCTACTCTCTATGGCCCAAGTCACAATATAGAAATTCTACACAAGCTTCTTCTGTCATAGTTCTTGTCACTGTAATATGACAGTCGTGCATTATTTCTTTCTGACTGAACATGGTCCTTAATAGATATTTATGCAATGAATACATAGAGGCTATAGCACAGGACACATTATACCAAAGTGTCTTCATTTGCTCCACCTCTCTTTTCCACCTCCTACTTTTTGTTTTCCATCTCACTCCATTCTTATTGGCATTTTATCTTTTCATCCTTGATATCATCTTTGGTCACATCTTCTCACATCACATCATTTGGAGGGAAACAACATCTCTTTGACTTACCAGTGTAAGAGTTCACTCTTTCCTAGCTCGACATTCTCATTTCCTTTAATAAATAATATTTTTATAAGCCTCCTTTTTAATTTGCAATATCAACAGTGGTGGATAAACACTCATATATATATATGGTAAATTTATAGTGAATCATTTAGTTACTATAAACATTGCATTTAAAAAATATGGGACACTTTTAAAAAAAAAAAGCTGGGTAATAAATGAAAGTAATAGAGAACACCCAAGTGTGGAGATCCACAGAAGAGAGGACATGTAAAACAGATAGGATTGAATATTTTTACGAAGAAACCTCTGAAGATTAACATACCCAGAAATCTCCTTCCAAATGAAGTTGTACTCATAGCACCATTAGCTTGCATAACACAAAATTTATTAAAAATGAAAAAAAAATACCTGAAGTGACTTTATCATTATGCACCGAGTGTTTTAATATTTTTCCCTACTTTAGGGTCAAAATAAAGTTACCTATTTTCTGGAACACTCTTCACAATACCAGACTCGTATAGATGCCCAAGCATTTCTGGCAAATTAATTTCTAAGAAGGATAATTCTTCTTCACATTAGAAATTCCCAGATTATTACATGCATACACATAAATAGTACTCCATTCATTTATTATCACACTAGGTAAACCAATTATTTTTCAATTGATAAATTTTCATTGCATTATAATATTTAGACTTGAAAATTTAAATAAAAACCTGACATCAATATATAATAGATCTGGTAAAATTCATCATATTTCATTTGTCATATTTGGCTACAAACAATTTTATGGTCTTCTAGCCTTTCTTCCTAAATCTAAAAATCGTCATTTGAGGACCTTCTTAATGGTTTATGAAAACTGACTTTGGTGGAACAAATTTTGTTATTAAACATGTGGTTACATTATTCCATTGTTCAATAGAAGGCCTAACTAGAAAATGATATTCAGTGGAATCCAAAGATAATTTTTATAAAAACAAAATTATGATGGAAATGTAATACACAATAAAAATGGGAATGAATTTGGGACTGTGGAAAAGTGATTATATTACCTGAGACATCTCATCTTATGCAAACAAGATAGCTTTTTCCTGCGTTTTCATTCTTTCACCAAGTGGAAGAAAGATTGGTATAAAAAGTAGACTGAATATCTCAACACCAAGGCAAATTTAAAAATACCCAATCATTACTTTTCCAGTTACTTGAGTCTAATTTTGTCCTGTAGAGTTGTATTGTATTTCCTTTTTAAATATCACAATGATTTATATCTTATTCATAATTATTCATATCATAATTATTCATAATTATTCATGACTGAAGATTTAGTTTCTTTGGTTTAGTCCTGAAGGAACTCTTCAACACTGGAACCAACTTACAAGTAAATTGAACACACACATAGAATGTCAACATAATCTTCCATATGTATCTTCCAGTCTAGTTCTTTATTTGTAAGGATATATTCCTAAGTTTCAATGCCAGAATCCCCATTGGCACTTATAATATGAATTTTCTGACCTTTGCTTTATGATATTTATTTGACAAGTCTGGGATATAGTCTGATTACTCCTATATATTATAAGTTGTACAACAGGTTCAAGTGTACACTTACTGATCAAAAACTATCAGAAAAAAGAACAAAAATTAAAAACATATTTCTAATGATCTAAGAAACTCCCATGAACAAGTTTTTTATTATTTTATTTTTTTATTTTTCTTTTTTTTGAGACGGAGTCTCGCTCTGTCGCCCAGGCTGGAGCGCAGTGGCCGGATCTCAGCTCACTGCAAGCTCCGCCTCCCGGGTTTATGCCATTCTCCTGCCTCAGCCTCCCCAGCAGCTGGGACTACAGGCGCCCGCCACCTGGCCCGGCTAGTTTTTTGTATTTTTTAGTAGAGACGGGGTTGCACCGTGTTAGCCAGGATGGTCTCGATCTCCTGACCTCGTAATCCGCCCGTCTCGGCTTCCCAAAGACAAGTTTTTTTTAAAGTTTATTAATATACCCAAATAGAACATTTGTTTTCTGTATTAAGGAAGAATGATAGAGGAAGGAGAAAAGGAAATTTTTATAAAATATGATGTTTACAAAGCAAACCCAGTATTATAAAAGCATATTCAATGATAGTAGTCTGTGCATTTTATTTAAAAATTGTAGAAAATATATTAATTGGAATAAAATATTTTCAATTATATCATGGTGAGGATGAAAATATGTATTAATTGGTAGTATGTCTATATTGTTTCTTCAAACAATATTTAAAAAGAGTTAAAGAGCTTTATTTTAAATATTATTGTCAGTTCAAGTTTGCTAACTTTGTTGTAAAAAGGATTTTAGTCATCTGTATTCACAGTTTTTCAAGATGCAGGGATCCACGCTACCCAACCATACCCGGAAAAAAAAAAAAAAAAAAAAAAAGGAGTCCACAGAATGAAAAATATTCACTTTAATTCCCTCGTTCACATTCTGTTGCTCTGTTCAAACTTCACCTTTTAAAACTGATACTGCTCCTTACTCCTAAATATATTTTATTCAGACTGATGACCTGATTATTTCTCGGCAAAGTTAATGAATAATATTTTTGCTTTGTATTTCTCTCGCAACTCAAAATGTTTCCATGTATTTCACTTTTTAAATTCAAAAATCTTTAAATCCTACCTCTTGGTAATTCTTAGGATTGCTTGTAAACTTGTAAGTCAGGCACCTAAAGTTTTATTTCTCTCACGTAATGGCAGGGTACATGAACTATCTCTTCATTTATGTATATAGTTCTAAGATTACATTGATTTAAAAGATTAGCATGGATTTTCCATGAATTTCTTTAAGGCGACTTTTACATCATTATTCCTTAGGCTGTAGATCAAGGGATTCAGCATAGGAATCACCAATGTGTAAAACACAGAAGCCATCTTATCAGTATCCAGTGAGTGGTTGGTTTGGGGCTGCAGATACATGAACAGCATTGTCCCATAGAAAACTGTGACTGCCATCATATGTGAAGCACAGGTGGAAAAGGCTTTATTCCTTCCTTCTGATGAATGTATCCTTAGAATGGACAAAACAATATTGAAATAAGATACTAGAACTGTAATCATGGAAAAAACCAAATTTGTTGCTGCAGATATGAAGACTATTGTTTCTGGTAAGTAAGTATCAGAGCAAGATAATGCTAACAGAGGTGCAATATCACAGTAAAAATGATTGATTATATTAGAAGAGCAATAAGACATAGAGAATATACAAGGTGAAACCACAATAGCTGTAGAAAAGCCATAGAGGTATGTGAGGGAGACCAGCAGGATGCAGAGCCGCCGAGACACCACTACCATGTAGAGCAGAGAGTTACAAATGGCCACATAGCGGTCATAGGCCATCACAGCCAGCATCATTACCTCCGATACAATAAAGAACAAGAACCCTCCCAGTTGGGTGGCACATTCATAGAATGAGGTAGTTTTCTTCTTTACTAAAAAGTTAATCAGCATTTTAGGGGCAATGACAGTAGAGTTACCAAGATTGATGATAGCCAGCTGTCGCAGGAAAAAGTACATGGGGGTTTGAAGTCGAGAGTCAGCACTGGTGAGGGTGATGATGCCCAGGTTCCCTGCCAAGGTCAGCACATAGAGCACCAGGAAGACCAGGAAGAGGGGAATCTGGAGCTCTGGACAGCCAGAGACACCCGTGAGAACAAACTCAGTGACGCTGGTGAAATTTTCAGGAGCCATGTCAGAGTTTGGAAATTCATCTGTTTGAGGAAGAAAATAAGTGGTTAGAGACTTTAAGGAATCATTTTCTAGGACTTCCATTAGATGGCAAGGACAATTCCTGGGTGAGATCTTCTTGTCATGTATTAATCTAATTCAGTTTTTAAACTCAGTGTTCTGAGTCTAATAAATCAGCTTTGCAATCATTTGGGAGAGAGTAAAGCAAGTATGGTAAATGTAGTATGGCAAAGTAAATAGTTGTTTCAGCATCCTGCAACATTTTGAGGGTTTACTGCCTTGCAGTGTAATTGAATTAAGAATATGTTCTTAGCTTACAAACATTTGAAGCCGAGATATATCTGATGATTTTTGCATTGATCATGAGAAAGGCTTAAGAAATTGTATATCACCAAATAATCCAGTGACTACTTGCAATTTCCTAATCTGATAATTCTACTTTGTCTCAAGAATAGGTACTATACTCTTCATTTTAAGAATTATATCCCTTTATGACATGTATTAGATGTATATTGAGCTTACAAATTACAACATGCATGTCTGTTTACTGCTTTTGCTCTTTCCATTTTATTGACTCAGACAAAAATACATGGGTAATGTCTTCGGATTTATTTTTCAGGTTGCTGTTTCTCTTCTTAGGTTCCCATAAATAATATCAGTAAAATTTTTATCATTTTTGTAATTCCTTGACATTATGCTTTCCTGGGTACTACTTTCTATTTCTTCCCTCTCATGACTATTCCTTGTGCTAAAATTTGTACAATTCTCCATGTTTTTTTCATGATTTTTCTTCTAAATCACTTTTTTTGTTTATAAAATGTTATATTTCTTAAATTGACACAATAAACCTGCTCTTAATTTTAGCTGATCTTTTTTTATGTTTTTGATATTTATATTATTGTAACAGAAAAAAACACCTTCATTTTGAGAGTTTTTATGATAATTATGTTGCATGTATTTGCCATAGATTCAGCGTGCTATTTTGGTATGGATGAATATTTTCCTAGAGTTGTATATTTTAATCATGATTATTTGCCCCTTACGAAGTGAATTCATGTCCTGTTGGAGTCACAGTTGATAGTTCCAGTGGTGGGCACCTGGTCCAAATAAGTCTTATATTTCTTTATTTTAAAGTTTGCAATTAAGTTCCAGAAAGTTAACAATATATTATCACAAAGGTCTGAATTTTAAAAGGTCAGAGCTATTGACATTTTCTCTCCTTCTAAAAGAAATAGAGTAGAAAGAAAAACAAATAATTATTCTGCAGTGAGAAAAAATAATGAAGTGACTATTTAAAAAAAAAAAACAGAGAAATAAGACCAAAATGACTCCTAACATTGTCGGATGTCTGGTACCAGTTTGTCTGATGATACCAAGCGTAAATTTTTCCTTTGGGTTCCGTGAATCATCCTCTTATTTTTCGCATATTTATTAAAATTGTACTTTGTTCCAGACTATGTTCGAGCTTCAGATAAATTACCTGAACCTCAAATCATAAATACGTTATTGTAATGATAGGGAAGAGAAAAATCTGTTTAGAAGACATATAAACACAATAATTGCAGATTTAAATAAGCATAATATGTAAAACAAACAAGATAATATACTAGGATAACCTGGGAGAGTACTTTTACTTGGAATATTAATATTTTCACAAGGAAGGCTCTTCTGAGAAGGTGGCATTTGAGTTGAAACCTAAAGGTTGAGAAGGAAGCAGCTATTTAATCAATCACAGGAAGGGCTTTCCAGGATTCCAGGCAAGAATTAATTTCTTGAAAGTGCATATCTGGAAAAAAAAGTGTGACCTATGCCACATTTGTTCTTCATTCAGATAAAGTTATCCTGCTTTAGAATATGTTCTCATAAACGCTGTAACATACATAGATAGGAAATGAGAATAGGACAAGAGGGGCACTAGGGAGATAATGACAGACAAAGATCCGTGTTAAAAATAGATGAAAAGCGTGAAGCATTAAGTTAATAGCACTATATTGCAAGGAGGAAATAGTTTTGCAGCGTATAGGGGCCTTCAACATCTTTGGTGATAACTTAATTTAAGCTTTGCCCTTAAAAATTGTCAATGATCAATGCTTCTACTTACTTCAACAGAGAATCTGCTTTGCTTTCTACTTCTTTAGCCCTCACAGGTGGCTACAGAATAGATTTAAGGTTCTTTTCTAACCCCCTTGAGACTCATTTGGTTGAAGTTTCAATCTGATTCAAGGATAAAAAATTGTACATAATTACCTGAGAGAGAGTGTCTTGGATATTTGTTAATTCTCAGAATTTTCCATTAGAAAAAGTCATAATATTTTATGTTTCAGTCTAACTGAATAATTGAATTATGCAATATGACTAGACACAGGAAATTATAAATATGATTTTGTCAGCATTTCAGTTACACAATATTATGCTCATATTAAGTACACCACACAGACACCCACACATGCAATTTGTTAGCAAATGAAAAAAAAATTCTGGAAAAAAACATGCAAAATTTGATAATACAACATCCATTGACATAGGATACTTCTGGTGATTATAGTATAATACTACCAGACATATAGTTATTGGTTGACATAAGAAAGTGTCATGACTTTTATTTTTTCTGCCAATATATCAGTGGTAAATCATTTCTTCATCTGTTTATAATATATCTTTAATCACTAGCAATTTTGAAACATTTTGTTATAATTTTTATAATCATATTTTTAAATAATTTTTTATAATTGATGGTGAAGCACTTTACCATCATTTTCTTTCTGTTTATTTTGCTTAGAGTTATTTTATCCTGTTATATCTTCATCATTATTAAAAAAATAGAAAGAAATTCTGGCTAACAACTTTTTCCATATTTCTTGTCCTATAATAGTTTTTTCTTTCCACTTAGACTTTATAATTAAAACATGTGGTAGGTATCTTGTTATTGTTCTATTGTTCTATGGATGACTGAGACTGTTTCCATGGGTGTTGTTTTTAGTATTATGTTTCTGTCTGGCTTCATTCTGAGTGTCTCTATTGTTGACAAGTCACATCTTTTCTTTTTCAGTGTATAATATGTATTTTACCTAGTAAATATTTGATCATATCTTATATTGTATTTTCATCTCTTGAAGTCCCATCTGACATTTTCAGTTTCATTTATTTCTCACAATGTTGGTATTTGTGCTAAATCATTCAGTATATCCAACATCTATAATAATACTTTGAAGGTTGCACATTGCTGCTTTCTCATAGGACTAGAATCTGTGATTGGATGTTGACTATTGTAAATTTTATAATGATTGCTGTGTTTTATTTTTATTTGTTTTCCTAAAAAGATAAAAGTTTTAAAATGTACAAGTAATTATTGACTTTAGTCACCCTGTCGTGCTATCAAACAGTTATCAGTTGCCTCTATTTGAGACTTGTTTTCAAGCTAGCAAAGGGGTTTAAAATAGCTTTATTTCTGAGATTTCTACTGGATGTCTTATGTGTTATAAAAGGACTTTCCACTATGACTTTTTAGAATTCTAATGTCTTCCTGCCCTGTGTAGTTTCTATGAAATGTTTCAGCTTACAATTTCCTGGTCATTCTTTTAACAGCTTTATGCCATGCACACGTCTAGAGTTCAGCCAAAGTCTCAAGAAAACTTATGGAGGAAAGGATGACCAACAATAAGGATAGGACCTATAGGAAACAAATAGCAATATGCCAAAAGGTTGTTCTCCATTATTTGTGATAACTTTAAATGGACATGGATTACATTCTCCAATTAAAAGAAAGAAATTGACAGAATAAATTAAACAAACCAAAAAAATCATGTGATCCAAATATATGCCATCTGCATGAGTCTGACTCACTTTGTTTAAATAAAATGAAAACAAGATTGAGAATGTACATCCTATTTTAAAAAAAAGAAAAAACCTCTACAAAACAAATATATAGTTTACTAAAATATAGCTTAATGTGTGTTCTGCTGGTAGAATATAGGGTAAGAGATCACTAAAGAAAATAGTAAATCAGAAGAAAGACATTTTGGAAGGAAGTGGTATTTTCATTGAATTCTATTATATGAGGGTTAATTGGCTGATTATAATGAGAACAACAAATTTATGAAGTATTAAAATGGGTCTTTTTTGTAGAGTCATAAAGAATGTAATTATATCTATTAGAAACACTATCAAGTGATAAATATTTTCTCATAATTTATTGGAACAATGTTCTAAGCTAAAGCTATAAATCAAGAGGTTAAATCTGAGGATCATTAAACTGTAGAACAAGGAGGCCATTTATCCATATCAAAATGTAGAGATCCATAGAACGTAACTACCATTGTAAGATGAGAACCACACATGGAGAAAGCTTTTTTCCTGCCCAGTGCAGAATGCATTCAACATATGGCTGACAAAATCAGAATGTTTGACACTAGCAGTACCAGCAGGTAGGGATCAAAATAAATGCTGAAAGCAGTATGATCAGCAATTCTCTTTCCTGTGCATTCGAGCACAGCGTTTGGAACAAAAGAACAATATTGTAAATTTTAGTTAAAATATCTTGCTTTTATAATACTTTATAATAATAATTTCTGTGTTTTATTTTTATTTGTTTTCCTAAAAGAATGATAAAAGTTTTAAAATGTACAAGTAATTATTGACTTTAGTCACCCTGTTGTGCTATCAAAGAGTTATCAGTTGCTTTTGCAACTTTGGCAAAGATGTATTTCATTGTGAGTTCGTTACTAAAGTCCCACCCAGGGAGCAGAGGGGGGCCTAGATCTTAACCTTTATTAGCTGCACGTTATCTTTGACTCTTTAAGAATATTAAAATTTCACCAAAATTGTCGAACATAATAGAAATGTACTAAAGAAAAACTGTGATACCATTATGTAGAGTAAATTTAATGTAATATTCATATATTGACATACATAGAGCTTTGCTATATCAATTGATATGCGCAAACATTCTATTAAGAATTTAATCTATGCTGTATCAATGTAATATGTTATATTTATCCCTGCATTTGAAAAGTTACAACTCTTTTTGTTGTGGAGGTGGTGCTGGTTTTTACTTCAGTGTTTGTTTTAAGGTATAAATATTTTACTTGTAACAGTTTACTTTCAAATGTAATTATACCCCTTCGCATATAAAGTAAGAACTTTACAGTATTTAATCACTCCTGCCATGTCCTTTATAACAATTTTGTTATATATTTTTATTACTCTTAAACAAATAATTATCTTTCACATAGATTTAAATTATTGAAATCACTATAGTTATTTCTGGTGTTGTTCATTCTTTTGTCTAGAATCATGTTTCCATCTGGTATTTTTCCCTTCTGATTGATGGGCTTCATTTATCATTTCTTCCAGTGCAGGTTTAATCATGAAGGGTTCTTTCAATGTTGATAGGTCTGAAATAACTTTATTTCACATTCTTTTTCAAAATATATATTCCCTGGGTAAAGAATCCTAGGTGATAGTTATTCTGTTTCAGTGTTTTGATGCTGTTGCTCTGCTGTATCTTGACTTACAATGTTTTTGAGGAGAAGCTAAATGAACAATGATGTTACATGAAATAAAATGTTATTATTTTTCCTATTCCTCAGTATACAAAGTGTTTGTGTTTTGACTGCTTAAGGTTTTTATCACTTGCTATGTGAAACTGTGTTTTGTTTTTATTTTGTTTTGTTTTCTCTCCACTTTTGTTTGGGGTTTAGGGCTACATATGCTGGTTTGTTACATGGGTAATTTGAGTATCACTGAAGTTCCTTATACGAGTGATCCCATCACCCAGGTAGTGAACACAGTACCCAATATGTAGCTTTTCAACCCTTGCACCTTGCTCTCTCTTCCCCTCTAGTATACCCCAGTATACTGGGCAGTGTCTATCATTCCCACCCATCTTTCTATTTGTACACAATCTTTAGTTCCCACTTATAAGTGACAACATGTGTTATTTGATTTCCTGTTCCTGTGTTAATATGCTTAGAATAATGGCCTTTAGCTGCATCCACATTACTGCAAAGGACATGATTTTCTTCTTTTTACAGCTCAGTAGTATTCCACATATATATTGAATATTTCATATAGTATTCCATATATACTGTATCAGCCACATAGTATTCCACATTATAATCCAATGTGAGATATATAGATATATATATATATATGGAATATGCAAATATATATAGCACACTGGATTACAATGTGCCTTCAGTTAGTTTTCTACATATTGTTTGTACCTGGGATTGTTTAATCTTCTTGAATCTTAGGGTTTTTAATTTTTAACTATTGGAAAACTTTCACCTACAATTTATTTAAATAATTTTAATGTCCCTCTTCTTTGCGGAGTTTAATTACATGTATATTTGGCTTCTTGAAGTTGTTCAGCTTATTGTTCTCTGTTTTTTAAAAAAATATTTTGATTCTCTGTGTTTCATTCGGGATATTTTCTATTGGTATGTCTACAAGTTCACTTTTTTTTTTCTACAATGTTTAATCTGCTATGAATACAATCCCATGTACTTTTCATCTTTTACACTGTACATCTCTCTGTGGGAATTCAATTTTTTTAGTGTCCTCTGTGCTCCTGCTTACCTTTTTGAAAATACAGCATGTACTCACAAAACTTTTAATGCTCTTGTTTGATAATTCTAACATCCATGTCAGTTCCTGGTTAGTTTCAATTGATTGGTTATTCTATTCATTATGGATCATGATTTCCTGATTCTTTGTATGCCTAACAATTATTAAACGTACCCCACATATTACCAATTGTGCCTTGGTGTTAGCTGGATAATTTTGTATTTTGTGAATACTATTAAGCTTTGTTGTGGGATACAATTAGTTGAAAACAATTTAATCCTTTTAGATATCACTTTTATTATTAATCAGGTGAGTCCAGATCAGTACTTGGTCTAAGACTGATTATTTTCTTATACTGGAGTAGGATCTTGAATACTGTACACATAACCTCAGGAATTATGAGTTTTTCTAGTCTGTGTGTAACAAATTGGTATAATCCCTGCCTCTATTTGAGTGCTGGACACTGCTCTCTTTATTTTTAGGATGATTGTTTCTTCAGTTACGTGTGGTTTCCTTTTGTATGTTCTGATCAGTCATCTCTTGAATAATTAAGGACGATTTCTCTGCAGAGATACAATGTCCATTGTGCAGATATATAATCTTTGGTACTCCATCCTGCAATCTCCCCTGGCTACCTTTATCTCAGCAGACTCTCAACCGTCTCTTAAACTCAGGAATTCTGGGCTTCACTTGGGTTTGCCCTTCCTGCAGTCCAGTCTGTTCACTCTCATGAGAGAGAAAAGAGAAGATATCACAGGAATCAAATGCTTCGTTTTCTGTTTCTCAGGGGGAACTCTCCCTGAGTTGCCTGGCACCTGTGTTGTGAAAGCTACCGTTTCATATATTGTCTTTTATTTTCTTTCTCTTGTCTAAATGGGAAGTTAAAATCTCTTCTCAATTACTCCGTATTGTTTGGTAGCGGAAGATAATATTCAGGAAATATTTAGGTGAGCTCTGTAAATATGTTTTCTATTCTTTTTCTTAATCATGAATCTTTAAGCCTCTTACATTCACGTTGATATGAAGATTTTTTTTTTCCATTCAAGGTTTGGAACACTTCTTATCCCCTGAACATTCCCATCCCGGCTAATGCCTCTGTTCACTTCTGAGTGTATCATAATTAATCCTCCACATAATTAACCCTCCATTTTCCATTCTTAGTATTCTGCAATCTCTAACTTGTGCAACAGTCATAGCTATCCATTACCCAAAGATAGATCAGAACACTTTTAGCTAAAAATCCTACAGTGGCTTATTTATCATGATAAAATGCAAGATTTATAAAGGCCTGTATAGTTTTACTTGGCTGAGTTCTATGTTACGAATCTTCAATATATATTTTATTTCTTAATTTTATTTTATGGTCCAACCACCCTTCACTGTTGCTTTTCAAAACAAAAGTCATATTATTATTTAAAAACTGTTACAGTAATAGTTCTCTCACCCTTGAATAGCCTTCCCATAAATATTCACACAGTCTGCTTACTCAGTTCTTCAAGTGTTTGCTTAAATAGTGTCTTCTCAGAGGAATCCCTTGAAAATCTCAATTAAAAAATTAATTGTTGTCCTGGCTACTTGCTTCATTTAAAGTAATGGTAAAAACCACAATTACTTTTGCACCAACCTAATATATTCATTTTACTCAATACTGTCAACCATACAAAATAACTCACTTGTCATTCCACCCGTTTTCTATAAGCTTCATGCAGAGAGAAATGTTGGTTAACTTGACAATATCTGTTTACTGATCACATGAATCTATTTATACACGTGCCTTTCAGTGTACAAGGCATTTCAGATAAAATACTGATAAAATATGCAGCCCCTAGCTTTAATTTTAAAAAGTTAATGGAATAGATATGAAGAAAGTTTCTATGTGAGAACACATAGGAAAGGCACCTAAGTTGAACTTAAAACTGAGTATTGATTAATAGTTAAAGTATGAGTACGAATTAGTCATCTGTTAGTGATAGATTTTTATTTAAAGGTAATTAATGAAATTATCTATTTCTGTGCTTATCACACTCTGATTTTTGCTCGTCACATGGAGGTAACAGTACAAATGTAAAGCAATATTGGTTCGTGTATATATTTGTTATCGCATCATTTACTGTTATCATAACCTACAATGAATTTTAAATAGATAATTTGCACATATTTTCCAGGTTCTACATAGAGCATTTTTTACCTCTTTGTTCCTCAAACTGTAGATCACTGGATTCAACATAGGTATTATCAAAGTATAAAATAAAGAGGCCATTTTATCAACATCAAGTGAACGACTGGATTTGGGGTGAACATACATAAAGAAGAGGGTGCCGTAAAATACAGTTATCACTGTCAGGTGAGATCCACAGGTGGAGAAGGCCTTGTACCTGCCTTCTGCAGAATTCATCTTGAGGACAGTGACAAGGATCAGAGTGTAAGACACAAGGACTATCAGAAGAGATGAAATCAAATTAAAAGCTGAAAAGATTAAAATGATCAATTTAATGTCTTCTGTGTATGAGCAGAGCAAATATATCAATGGCCGAGTATCACAGTAGAAATACTTGATGATGTTATAGCCACAAAATGATGAGGTAAACATTTTTATGACAGCCAGCAAAGTCAAAAAGACACTGTAGAGATAAGGTATTGCCACTAGAACTTGACATGCTCTTTGTGACATGATGATCGTATAGAGCAGCGGGTTACAGATGGCCACATAGCGGTCATAGGCCATTGCTGACAGAATGAAAATTTCACTAGTGATAAATATACCGAAGACAGTGAGTTGGGTAGCACACCAATTATAGGAGATTATATGTTGATCTACAACAAGGTTTGCTAGCATTTTGGGTCCCACTGCTGTTGAATAACCAAGATCAGTGAAAGCCAGATGCCTTAGGAAAAAGTACATGGGTGTTTGAAGCCTAGAATCTATCTTTGTGAGGATGATCAAGCCTAAGTTACCCACCACTGACAACATGTATACAATGAGGAGGAACCCAAATAATGGAGCTTGCAGTTCAGGGATGTCCGTGATTCCCATTAGAATGAATTCGTTCACTACTGTCAGATTGTGTTTGTCCATTCAAGTTACTCAGGGAACCTATACTGGGAATAAATATAAAAGTAATTATTAATTTCTAAGAAACATGACAAAAATATGTGTATGTATATATACACGTGTGTGTGTGTATATATATATAGAAGTATGTATGTGTGTATATATGCATATATGTGTATAAATATACATATACATAACAAATATGGAATAAATTATATGTACATAATTCTTTTACATATGTAAACATAATTTCATATCTCCAATTTTGGTATTTTTCCATAAATCTTGAAGGTAGAGCAAATGAAACTTTCTTTTCTGTAAATAGATAATATTACCACACACAGTACACAATTATTTAATTGTCCCTGAGGAATACTTTAACCCAGTGCATTAAAATAATGAGATATAAGCTAAGATCAAAAAGTAACTGAAAAAACTAATGTAAACACCACCAAATAAGTTTACTTTCAATGGGGGGAAATTTGTTCAGAACAGTATTCATACTGTTACTGTGCCAACAATTTGTCTCACATACTTGTTAGCTGCAAAATGAATGCCATAATTTTAAAACATTCTAACCATCAGAATCATAACCCAAGATTTAACTTAGCATCAGTAATAATGAACCAACTTGGTAAGACAAACTATGGGTTGCAGAGAATCTTAAGTATTTGTAACAAAGGTTTTTATCCTGAATATAAACAATACTTTAGATATTACTTCCTGCTTATGGGTAACAGAAGCAATAGAGAAACATGGCAATGACAGTGGAAATAAGGTCAAGATTCAAAGAAATAAAGTCTTTATATTATAGAAAAATTAATGTCATTAAGAGACATTAACATTATTAATATGATTAACATTATGAAAACCTCCTGAAGAAATCCTATGTAGATGCATAGACCCAGAAAGAGAGAGAGAGAAGGAAAGAAAGGGTAAGAGAGAGAAAAAGAGAAAAACTGAAAGAATAAGAGAGAGAAAGAGAAGAAGAGACCAGATATTTGATTTGTTTTACCTGCATGGCCCAGACAACAGATATTCACTATTTGGATTAAGTTAAATGAAGACCACTTAGAAAATTTGTAGAATCTATTTACTGTAATTATTATGTAAAAAGTACACTTATTTTTATTTTTATTCTTTATTTCCTCAAATATATATATATTGCTCTATTGCTCCTTGTGATAAATACATTTGAGTTGACAATGTTGTATGACATAGATACTATTATTTATATAATACCTGTCATAGATAGACATCACTTTTTGGTACAGTAGGAAACTCTAAAACTGTGTATCTCTATTAAAGCAACAAAATTAAGATAACAAAACTATCGGAATCTACATTTTTAAGAATACTAGAATCTAGATTTTAGTTGAGATTGTTGTCATGTTTCAATTTATCTGCCTACTAGGCCCATTGCCCAGCACTGTGGCAGCCATGAAGATGGTGACCCACATCATGGTGTGGCTGCCTGGTGACCAAGGGAACAAAATAAGCCTTGTTCTGCAGGAATTGTAGTTGTGTTTTGACTCATCCAGTGGTTCCATGAAGGATCCACTCAGAAATTGGAGCTGGAGTAGTCTCCTGATAGGACTTTGTTGAAACTGTTTAAAAGCAAATATCCTAACTGCAGTTGCATGGGGAAAGGAAATAACAGACAAGTCAAACAGCATATAGACCAATAAAGCCCAAAAAAGAAGAGGCTAAGCAAGGAGATAAATGGATGAATAAAAGCTTTGAAAGGCTTCAGAGAATTTTGAGAGCTATACACGTCTAGGTCTACAAAATTGCTCAGAAAAGATGTGATAAGACCCTAAGATTTCAACTCTGGCTGAGCTTTAGGCTCCACACAAGCAGGAAGTGAAGGCTAAAGGAAGTTTTTAAACTGCCTGGCTAATAGTTTAAGGACTATCCCAAAACAGAGTCAGTGTTAAAAAATATGAGAAGATTATTTTCTTTCTTTTTTTTAAAATTTTCACTCTGGAAAATCACTGGCAGACAAAATGACACAATAGACTTTAATAAACATACATAACAAAGAATTTTCTTTAAGAAAAAAATTAGAAAAGTAAATTTAGGAAAGAATAATATCTAAAAACAATTTAGAAAAAAAAATCAAAACTACGGTCCACGACAATAAGGCAAACCCTGTAGAGGAAATAATACATGATTTCTGAAGAAACCTCATTAAAATACTCAAAAAGCTAAACTTTAAATGAAAAAAAAAAAAAAGTCATGCCAAGACACAAGAAAATATGTTTTATTCAGAAAAGGATAAAAAATAAATTGATAGAAACTATTGTGAGGAAGCCCAGAAACTGGAGTTACTAGACAAGGACTTTGACTTATCAGCATAAGAATAATGAGAGTTCTAGAAGAAGAGACAGAAAGAGAAAGAAAGAACACTTGGGGAAATAATGACAAAAAATTCACAAATTTGATGAAAGATGTGAATATACACATCCAAAGAAACTTAATAAACCCAACAGAGGATAGATTCAAAGGGACTGACAGTACAACATATTACAATCAAAGTGTTGAAAGCACTTTGAATCTTAATAGTAGCAAGAAATAGGTGGTTTAGCACATAAAAGGTATTCTTAATAATATTAATAGGTAACTGTTCATAAGAAACTATGAAAGCCTGAAGGTAGTGGAATGTATATTAAAGTCATGAGAAAAATAAATCCACTAAGAATTGTGTATCTGGCAAAACTATTCTTCAAAATTGAAGGTGAAATAAACTCACAAAAGTTGAAGGAGTTTGTCGCTAGCAAACATGCCCTGCAATCAACAATATAAAAAGTGCTTTAGGATGAAATAAAAGGACAAACCAGACACCAACTAGAAGCCATAGAAAGAAATTAAAAACAAAAACCAAACAGTAAAAGTAACTAAATAGGTAAATAAACAGGTGGTATAAAAGCTAAAGTTATTGTTTTGGGGGTTCCTAACTCCTCATTATTTTGCTCTTTTATATGACTTAAATACAAATTCATAAAATAATACTTACAATTTTTTATTAATTTGTGCACAATTTATAAGGATGCAATCTGTAAAGTAGATAAGTTGATAGTAGAGCTGTCTAAAAATTTTTAGGTACTATTGATGTAGTAGGCGTTAATTCAAATTAGGTTATTATAAATTTAGGAGTTAAATTTTAATCCCAAGGATAATCACTAGAAAAATAACAAAAATTCAAAAGTCGATATGAGAACACAATCAAATTGCACAGCCTTGTGAGGTTGTATGTTTCCAGGGCATTCAATGCACAGTAGGGTGACTACAGTAAACAGTAAGATTCCAGAAGGGATTTCAAAAGAAAACATTGTTGTCACAGAAGATGACAGCTCCATATATGTTATTGCCCCTCTAGATGTCCTAGTGGGAAAAGACAGGGTTGAAGACAGTGATATTGATGATCCTCACCTTGTGTGAGTCTAGGCTAATGTGTGTGTCTTCATTTTTGCATAAAAAGTAAAAAAAAAAATTAAAAATGGAAAAAAGCATATAGACTCAGGATATTAAAAAATATTTTTGTATAGCTATAAAATGTGTGTTTAAAGCTAAGTGTTATGACAAAAGAGTCAAGAAGTTTAAAACATTTAAAAGATTATAAAGTTAAAAGTGTACAGTAAGCTAAGGTACTTAATTATTGAAGTAGTAAAAATAATTTGTATAAATTTAGTGTGGTCTGAGTATATAGTGTTTATAAAGTTTGCACTATTATATAGTAATGTATTAGGGCCTTCACATTCACTCACCTTTCACTCACTGACTCACCCAGAGCTGCTTCCACTCCTGCAAGCTCCATTTTTTAGTAAGTGTCCTGTACAGTTATACCATTTTTAATCTTTTATACCATATGCTTACTGTGCCTTTTCTATGTTTAGGTATGTTGAGATACAGAAATAATTACCATTGTGTTATAGTTGACTACAGAATTCAGTACAGTTACACGGTGTACAGATTTGTAGGCTATAAGCAAGAGGCTGTACCACATAGCCTGGGTGTATTTTAGGTTATACAACCTGGGTTTGTGTGAGTACAGTGTATGATTTTTTGCAAAACAACAAAATCATATAACGACACATTTCTCAGAATATATTTCTATCATTAAGCCACCCATGACTTTATTTCAATTTCTAACTTGGCACCTTTATTCCTACAACTCCTTGTCTTAGAGCAGAGGTTTTCTCCAGGTGCCTATGCCAAGACCCTCTATGAGAAGAGAAAGGGGAAACCTTGAGGGTAATTTGCTCCACTATTCAGTATTTTCTAGACATCACCGTCACTCTTTTTATTTCCCCTCCCTGTATACGCACACCTCAATGTCCATAAAACTGCCAGTGCCTATTTTTGCGGGACTCCCTCAGAAGTGAGATAATCTCCGTGTCTTTACTGATCCACTGGATGCTAGACCAATGTGCCAATTCCATGAAAGAAAAGAAACAGGAGGAGTTGGTGCTTTCTCAGGTCTTAAACTCTTGCTTATGCCATTGCAGTAACTGATTAACTCTTTTATTTATGGCTTATTGCCTTAATTAGCTGCACCAACACCTCGCAGTACAATTTTCCTTCTCCAAACTCAGCTGAGTTCCTGACAGTTTTCTGAGATATGACAACAAAAACACAAGCAACAAAAGTAGAAAGCATTGATAAATTGGACTTTATCAAAATTTTAAAAACAAACTTGTGTATATCAAAGGACATTATCAAAGAATAAAAATACAACCCCATAACTTTAAAAAATTATAGTCATATATCTAGTAAGAGTATAGTATATAGAATATATAATGGACTCTTAAGATTCAACAACAAAAGATAAGCCAATTTAAAAATGGACAAAGGAAAAATATTCTGTATTCATGAACTGGAAGAATCAATATTGTTAAAGTGTTAATACTACCCAAAGTTATCTACAGAATTAATATGATTTCTATCAAAATTATGGTGTCACTTTTTATAGAAATAACCAAAAAATCCCCAAATGCCTATGGAACTACATATTAAAAATCCTGGA